TATATATATATATATATATATAAATAAATATATATATATATATATATATATATATATACAAATCTAATTAAAAATTCGCACGTCTCACCGGATCCCTCCTCGCTCTTCTGACACTGTCAAACACCACCCAACCCAAAGTCTCGCCCCTCTAGTGGGGCAGGCCGCACAGTTTGAAAACCTCTGGTCTAATCATCTTGTTTAATCCCGCACCTTTTCACAGCGCCGTACAACAGAATTTCGCATGCACAAACTCTAGCGTAACCGCGGCATCATGCATATATTGTTATTGCAGTGTGTTTTGATTTTAATGGATGTTAGAGTGACTGACCTCGAGCAGGACGTCGGCAGCGTCGTGCAGACATAAGACCAGCGTTCCCACTCGAGCCATATTATTCACATAGGAGAAACTGAGCAGAGAGATGGTGGACACGTGATGCACGAACATCAGCACAAAATCCTGCAGAAAAACACACACACACACACACACACACTTTAATTTGTTTAAAATATATATTAGTTAGTTCAAAATCAATATTAGCTTTTTAAAATTACAATTGACATCTGACATTTCAGGAAATCTGAGATGAGTTCAGATTTACTGTAATAAAAAAAAAAAATCCTTGTTTATTTAATAATGAAGAGTGGCATGGTGGCCTCTATGTGGAGTTTGCATGTTCTCCCCGTGTTGATGTGGGTTTTCTCTGGGTGCTCCAGTTTTCTCACAGTCCAAACACATGTGCTATAGATGAATGGAATAAGCTAAAAAGGCAGAGTGTGTGTGTGTAAATACAATAGTGTATGGATGTTTCCCAGTGATGGGTTGCAGCTGGAAGGGCATCCGCTGCGTAAAACATATGCTAGATAAGTTGGCGGTTCATTCCACTGTGGTGACTACAGATTAATAAAGGACAGGCGTGGATTGGCTAATCGGGAGGACTGGGAGTATTCCCAGTGGACCGGTCCTTTTTTTTGGCCATGAGGGCCGGTGTCCCACTGCCTGCACTTTAAACAGTCACACTTTTTTCATTCATTTATTTATTTGACCATAGCCTCACTCTTTTTATTCATTATTTTACCGCAGCTCCACTCTTATTATTTATTTTCTCGCAGCCCCATGAGCAGAATGCAGCCTGCAGGTTAATGATGTCCAATAAAGAAATCTATGAAGTCCGTTTCTTGTCAGATGTTGACTTTTAATCTTCACTCAGAGATCCATAAATTAAAATAAACACAATATAACCTCAAATTTTGATCATTATGGATGCGTCAAAGAAAATTGTGTGACTCCTATGTTTTCTAAAGATCGCACTGCCGTCAGATTTGACAGACGCAGTTCTTAAAGAGCCCGCACACAATTTTTAACATGCTACATGTCCTCAATGCCAAAAGCACAGACTTATCCATCTGAAAAACACATATGAATAATCTTAGTTCTCAAATGCAAACAATTCAAAACAAAAATATTCAAAAATGAAATGCATCACATAACATTATTAAATTCAAAGAAATACACTCCTACAACACATATTCAGATATTGCAGAAAAGGACATTGTGATGTTTTAAAGAATAGTGTTGGAGATTTAGCTACAGTTTAATGTTCTCATATTTATGACAAATATTTTAAGTTATAAAGCAGCTGTTTCCTTGAAAAAGACATGATAGTGTCATGAGAAAATTCAATACATTTCATTCGAAACTTTATTTTATACATGCAGCTTAATTCATATTTGTATTTATTTGATATTTTTACATTTCAAGGTTTGGATATATATGAGCACTAACACTTACGGAAAGTAGATTCTGATACTGTTAACCATTATGGTCACACTTTACAATAAGGTTCATTAGTTAACGTTAATTAATGCATTTACTAACATGAACAAACAATAAACAATACATTTACTACTGTATTTGTTCATGTTAGTTAACGTTAGTTAATGAAAATACAGTAGTTCTTTGTTAGTTCATGTTAACTCATGGTGCATTAACTAATGTTAACAAGCATGGACTTGGATGTTAATAATGCATTAGTAAATGTTCAATTATGATTAATAAATGCTGTACATGTGTTGTTCATGATTAGTTCATGTTAGTAAATGCATTAACTAATAAACCTTATTGTAAAGTGTTACCAACATTACATTGTGTTAACTGTTCAAATAAATCTTAACTGTGAAGTACTAAATTGAAAATGATGTTATTTTAATGTAGTCAGTCGTGAACTGAAGTGGGCCGGTCTACGGCTTGAAACTTCAGGGCTGAAAAGGAGTCCCACTCCGGCCCTGATAAAGGGACTAAGCCAAAAAGTAAACGAATGAATGTTGTTTGTGCATATTTGTCCCAAAGCATTTTGTACTAGAGTGTATGATAACAAAAAACATGTCAGCAAAGCAAACAGCAGAAAAGTGACAAGAATTGTCTGACAATAGCCCCTTTCACACATACAGACCTTTCCGGAAAATTGGTGGCTATTTTCCTGAAAGGTTGTATGTGTGAACAGGTCCTTTTTGAAAATACCGGTAAATTCGTTCTGGCTATTTTACGGAAAGAGAAGTTGTAACATTACTGGTAATTTGCCGGAATGCTGCGCTGTGTGAATGCAGAAGGAAGATTGCCGTAATAAGCGCGTGCACGTCTAGAATGTGCTGACGTGAGACGTCTGCCTTAGCCAATCACAACAGTCAGACGCATTTACGTCCGCGCGGTTTATGAGAAAAAAAGCATTTGAATATTTTTCCAGACACATTTAGCTGCTAGAAGTTAGTCAGATCACGTTTATATGTTCTTCTTAATGCCAACTGTGTAAATAATCATCGATGAGATGCTTATGATAAGCCGTTGTTTGTTTACCTTCAAGCTTTGCGTGTGCCTGTGAAACAGCCTGTGAGCGCCTGCACACGCACATATTATGAACATCTCGACATGCGAAAGTTGTTCACAATATTGATCATCCACAGAGTTTGTAATTTAGTCAAATGTTTACAAATACAAGCGCAGCCGTTTAAAGCTCATTTGTGGTGAATGATGTCAGAATTTACCGGTATTTTGGAATGGATGTGTGAATGCTCTTTTCCGGAAAATTTCTGTAACGTCCTCGTCTGTGTGAACAGCGCTTTTTTGAATATACCGGTAAAGTCGTTCCGGAAATTTTCCAGATATTTACCGGTATCACTGTGTGAAAGGGGCTAATGAGGAGCTGGAGAAGGAAGCAGACAAATAAAACCTGTAAAACACACATCAAAACTTAAACACATCCAGCGTTTCAGACTCACAGTCTGCAGTTCAGCTCTTTACATTTGCATTCATTTGCATGGCATTTGTTTGAGTCTGTCCATGTGTGTCCCATCCAGAACAGTGTCAACGAAATTTGCCTGTTCACACTGAAAAACTGGAGCCGTAACAGAAGAGTTATGATGTCCAGGTGCTATGAGTTATGAGGGGAATTTTGGACCAAGGACGTGCAGTCAACAGAGGTAGGTGAGGCACATCATCCTCACCTGCCATCATGAGATCTATACTAAAATAAAATGCAATTTCGATACGATTCAAATTATTTTGATCATTTTTATGATTAAAATCGCTGTTTTTTTGTGTATCTCTTATTCAATTACAGCGTAGGAAGCAAGATGAGGCAGCCAGAGCTCTGCCTCACGTCAGATTGTGCAATCTCTTGCACACTGGCTTGAGCGCGAAGCTTTTGCTCACTCAGTGTAATGCTGTATTAAAATGTTTTAATACATTGTAGACATTTTTATTATATATTCTCACTTTCAATATAGTATATGATGTAATTCATGCATGTCTATCACTTATTTACTGTTAGAATCTGACATAAAGTCGCACTGAAGAGGGCGCACCTGAGCTCACGGTTATTCCTGTTTAGTGGTTGCTCTTCTACTATGCAGTAAAGTTCAATAGGAGTCTGTTATTCTAGGTTTTGCTCTGATTGACTGCAAAAAACGCTGATATCAGCTCAAAGAGTTCTCAAAATTTCGATCAAAGAGTGAATAATAAATAATGGACGACCAATGCCAAAATCAAGGACTTGCTTCAAAGGACCGGACAGATGATAATGGGATCATTTCAAAGTAGTTCAAATCATGTCAAGACGTCATTTACAAGTACTGTAAATGTAAGACAAGTGTGCAAATCCTGTGTGTGTGTGTGTGAGTGAAAGAAAGAGAGCGCAAGCAATCAAGAGAGCGCATGTGCATCCGCTGTGGTGCTGTGTGTGAATGAGAGAGAGGGCATCGGCCGTGGTGCTGTGTGTCGCTTGTTATAGTTGTCTGTAGCATACAACTGGGTTTTTTTAGGGGGGTATATTTAATCGCTATGCTTTTTACATTCTTCCTTGGCCAAATATGTACCTCCCATGTGTATAGAAAGAATGCTGATAGGATAAATGAAACACAATTGGTAGTTTGCATATATACAGGTTGATATGTTTGTAAATCTGACTTTTGAGTTTGAAAGAGCCTCACTGCACCTCACCGCACGTCACTGGACCAATATGATTTTATGGTGTGGCCTGAAGAATCTCATGTTTTATTTAAGCTAGTTTTAATCTTTATAGTTTGTTAAAAAAAAAATTAAATGTAAAAAGTAAAAATAAAATGTACTAATAAATGTAATAAATGTGCAGATTTTCCACACCGATGAGCAATTTATAAAATGTTAGATATGTCATTTGATTACATTTCTTTAATATTTTGTCTTCTGGTCAACAAGGCTGCATTTATTTGATAAATAGATAGCAAAAACATTATTATGACTGTTTAAATTAATCGTTATCTGTTTGAATATATTTAATAAGGTAATTTCTTTATGTGATTCAAAGCTGAATTTTCAGAATTGTCACTATTTTAAATTAAAACCTTTTTTTATAATTTATAGACAGTTAGGTCCATAAATATTTGTACATCGACACAATTCTAACATTTTTGGCTCTATACACCATCACAATGGATTTGAAATGAAATTAATGATGTGCTTTGACATCAGACTGTCAGCTTTAATTTGAGGGTATTTACAATCAAATCAGGGGAACACTGTAGGGATTACAACAGTTTGCATATGTGCCTCCCACTTGTTAAGGGTCCAAAAGTAATTGGAAAGAATAATAATCATAAATCAAACCTTCCCTTTTTAATACTTGGTTGCAAATCCTTTGCATCATCAGATGCTGGGATTCATTCCTGCTGGTGCTCTGCCAGGCCTCTACAGCAACTGTCTTCAGTTCCTGCTTGTTCTTAGGGCATTTTCCCTTCAGTTTAGTCTTCAGTATATAAAATGCAAGCTCAATCGGAGTCAGGTCAGGTGATTGACTTGGCCATTGCATAACATTCCACTTTTTCCCCCTCAAAAACTCTTCGGTTGCTTTTGCAGTATGCTTTGGTTCATTCTCCATCTGCTCTGTGAAGCGCAGTCCAATGAATTATGAAATATTTGGCTTAGTATGAGCAGAAAATACTGCCTGAAACACTTCAGAATTCATCCTGCTGCTTTTGTCAGCAGTCACATCATCCATAAATACAAGAGAACCAGTTCCATTGACAGCCATACATGCCTACGCCATGTCACCATGCTTCACTGCTTAAGGCTGATTTATATGTCTGCGTCAAACGCCGGCGTATGCTACGGCGCTAACGCATAGCCTTTCGCCGTGGCTGTCGGCGTCACTGACATGCACCTCTCAAAAATTGTAACTACACGTCGCAACGACACGTAGCGCAAGCTCTGTGATTGGTCAGTTTGGTAGCGCTGACGAGTCTGGGCGGGACCGAGAGCCGCGCGAATGGCGCGCGAGCTGGACGCGAGCCCAACGGAGCGATTGTTTACAAGTGTGGAGTCCCGTGAAGGAGCTCCTAATGGAAAGTTTTGTTTTATGTTTACCTCATGGTTAAAGTTGTTGCACGTCTGCCAGTTCCTGCCTCAAAATGAGCAAGTTTGAGCCACTTGTACATCCAGGAAGTGTTCAGGAAAAGCAAAACAGCAGAGAAGAAACTCGACACAGAGGAACATTTACACCTCACTGCCCACTAGCGTTTCAGAAGTGTTAATTCAGACCAACAGAAACAGCGCTCAGAAGTATAAATGCACAGCTACCCGCGTTGCATGCGCCGTGGGTCACGCCGGTCACTTGACGCAGAAGTATAAACCAGGCTTTAGAATCGTGAGCAGTTCCTCTCCTTCTCTTCCCATCACTCTGGTACAAGTTGATCTTGATCTCATCTGTCCATAAGATGTTGTTCCAGCACTGTGAAGACTTTTTTTACAACTCTAATCTGGCCTTCCTGTTATTGAGACTAACCAATGGTTTACATCTTGTGGTGAATCATCTATATTCACTCTGGTGTAGTCTTCTCTTGAGACTCTGACACACATACATCTACCTCCTGGAGAGTGTTCTTGATCTGGCCACTGTTGTGAAGGGTGTTTTCTTCACCAGCGAAAGAATTCTTCAGTCGTCCACCACAGTTGTTTCTGTGGTCTTCCGGGTCTTTTGGTGTTGCTGAGCTCACTGGTGCATTTCTTGTTTTTAGGACAAACAGTTGTTTTGGCCACGCCTGATGTTTTGCTATCTCTCTGATGCATTTGTTTTGTTTTTTCAGCCTAATGACAGCTTGCTTGACTGTGACAGTAACAGATTCTAAATGCAAAATGAACTCTGAAATTTACTTGAAATGAACTCTGGACTTTTTAATCTGCTCATTTTATTTGAGATATTGGGGGAATATCACACCCTTGGCCATAGAACAGCTTAGAAGCCAATTGTCCCATTACTTTGGGACCATTAACAAGTGGGAAGCACATTTGCAAACTGTTGTAATCCCTACAGTGTTCACCTGATTTGGATGTAAATACCCTCAAATTATAGCTGACAGTCTGCAATTAAAGCACATCATTCATTTCATTTCAAATCCATTGTGTTTGTGTATAGAGCCAAAAATGTTAGAATCGTGTTGCAGTCCAAATATTTATGGACCTAACTGTAAGTACATATATATAATGAATTAAAATGTAATGTAAATTGATAGAAAGTAGTATTTAAAAGTGTTGATAACACTAAAATATTATCAGTTTTCATTAAAATGTACATTTACGAATTTAAATATAATGAGAGATTTTAGATTTTAAATATTTTGACATTTAATTAACTTGGTCTTAAAAAGTCTTACTTGTTATCTTTTATCTACTATACCCCTGCAGAACCTCTATAACCAAGATTAGTCTTAAACATTAAAAAAATAGTTGACTTCAACATTCAACAACAAGTTCTTCCAAAACCAGAAAAAAAAGAAACCAACAACAAAAAACAGAGTGAACTCAAAACACTGAAGCATCAACACTCTTCGTAAGCACACACAGCATCCTTCAGAGTTCAGATGTACAATAACCAGCAGCCCTTAACTAATGCAGTGAGGAGGGAAAGGTTTTACAAGCTCTAAATAAAGAGTAGATGGTTTTAAACTCATTTCACATACCTTTCTTCTGATGTCTGTGAACTGCGAGAAGAGCAGCGACAGGTAGAAAGAGAGCTCCAGTATATAGTAGTAATGTAGATCCACTGTTAACGGCTAGAAAAAAGAACATTCACAATGTTAAATATACATATACAGTAATCGTAAACCCTCCTGTTGACTAGCGGTTCAATAATGACCCATGATCATTTTATCAATTCATTAATTATAATTTGACTTGGTTGCTGGTTTATTAGGGGTCACCACAGTGGAATGAACCGATTACTACTCTGGCATCTGTTTTACACAGCAGATACCCTTCCATACTGGTAAAATGATCATTTTCATTCATTCATTCATTTATTCATTTTCTTTTTGGCTTAGTAATCAATGTCCCTGATTAATTAGTGGCTCTTTATTCTTAATCAGGAGTCGCCACAGCGGAATGCACCGCCAACTTATCCAGCATGTGTTTTACACAGCGGATGCTCTTCCAGACACAACCCAGCACTGGGTCACCAAAATGACCATTTTCATTCATTCATTTTCTTGTCAACTTAGTCCCTTTATTAATCCGGGGTCGCCACAGCGGAATGAACCGCCAACTTATCCAGCAAGTTTTTACGCAGCGGATGCCCTTTCAGCCACAACCCATCTCTGGGAAACATCCACACTATGGACAATTTAGCCTATCCAATTGACCTGTAACACATGTCTTTGGACAGTGGGGGAAACCGGAGCACCCGGAGGAAACCCACGCGAAGGCAGGGAGAACATGCAAACTCCACACAGAAACACCAACTGAGCCAAGGTTCGAACCAGCGACCTTCTTGCTGTGAGGCGACAGCACTACCTACCGCGCCACTGCCTCGCCCAAATGACCATTTTAACAACAGGAAAAAACTAAATTATGTTTTTTTATCTTGAAGTTTTATTGTTTTTTTAGGGCTGTCAAAATTAACGCACACGATTAATTTGAAATATTTAACGAGTAAAAAAAACACAATTAACGTAGTTAATAAACGCGGAAAAGAGATGTGTACCTGCAAAAGACATTGTTCAGTCTGGAGTGAGTGAGTGAGTGAGTGAGTTGGTGTAGTGTGTATGGGGATGATTTCTGTCTGATGGTTAAATATAGTCTGAATACTCATTCATTTCCTACGGCGGTCACTTTTGACCAAGAACACCACAGGTGTAACAAGGTTGATTAAAACACTCAAAATTCAATGAAAAACATGATCACCACTTTTATATGTTCAAATGCATAGTGTGGAGGATATCATATAAGGCCTTGAGGCAATGAGATGTAAAACACAAGATTAATGAGTGTTTTAAGTTGTAAATCTGTCAGATTTGATACGATCATGACAGGAAGGTTAATCCTTGTTTTTGTAGTTTTCCACTTCTAATTCTTGACTCTTATGCTATACGTCATGTCATATTCAACGAAAAGAATTCACTCTCCTGTCCAGCTGATGGTGCTAATGCACCAAAAATGCACCTCAAAAAAAGTAGAAGAAGAGGAAGGTGGCAGTCTCTCACTAAAAGTTAAACGAAATAGTTTTAAAAAGGATTTGTTTTTAAAGAAAACGCATCAATTTACTACAGGAGATCTTTATTTACCCTCTGCAGCCGTTTGAGGCACTTTTATCAGGAATGGAGGCACTAAACTGGAATTGTTTTGGACACAAAAGAAAAACACACAGCCATTGCCAATTTAGAGCTTGGAGGTGCCAGGAGAATTGTTATTAATGACTCCAACTGCATTCAACTGACAGAGGAAAGTCATAAACATCTAGGATGCCTTAATGGTGAGTTAATAATGGGATTGTATATTTTGGATGCACATTTTAAGAGTCAGAGAGACCAAAAACTAACACAGGCTCATTGGAAATATGTGTTTCAGACGACATTTTTTTGTGAAACCACAAAAACAAACAAATGAACAGTAGGGGGCAGTATGATGCTAACTTTTTCATGCTAATGATATTTAAAGGAATAATTATCGACGAACGAAAGATCGTTTCCATGCAGTTCTTTGCAAACCCCCCCCCTAAAAAAACAAAACAAAACAAAGAAACAGTTTAAGGATGTATAATCAAATACATTTGGCTCACCCTTAAAAAATTTTTAAAAGCGCACATACAAGATGATAGGGTACATGTGAGACAACTCGACAAGCGCGAGTAATTAAATAAACAAAGACACACGTGAGAGACGACAGGCGAGACCCAACAAACAAATTGCAAAGAGTAAAGCTAGAAATAAAGCGATATGTGTAAGCTAAAAAATTATTTATGGGGTTGAGTTTGTTGAAGAAGCAGTGCAAAAAATAGGCTTACAATTGTGGGCTGTTTACATGTAAGGGATAATCATGAGCTGCAATGCTAAAGGTTGGTACACACCAAGCTGATGCCAAACAACTAGCGCTGGCAAAACCCACACATATCTGCTTCCATCTGGACCAAAAATCTGCGTGTGAACACCAAACATGAAAGCCAGCTGAAACAAGAAAGCATGTTCTGTGCGTGCGCAAGAGGATGTGTGAACTTTCGGCCTGTACGTGCAAAATGTAAACAAAGCAGGGTTTAGTACCATTATCGCAGTAATTGTCACTGATTCACTCCTGCAAATATGTCTGATCATCTATACATACCGTTTGCAAATATTTGAGAAGTGTAGCAAAATTACAGCTACAATTGTGTTCCTTCTTTAATTGTTACGTCACTTCTCTACGTCACACTTGCTGTCTTATTCAATAGCCAGTCAGAGGGCTCACCTAAGTCAATGCCTTTTCATTGTGCTAAATCGAGACAATGAGCTAACATTCATTCGTTCATTTATTTTCTTGTCGGCTTAGTCCCTTTATTATTCCAAGGTCGCCACAGCGGAATGAACCGCCAACTTATCCAGCAAGTTTTTACGCAGCGGTTGCCCTTCCAGCCATAACCCATCTCTGGGAAAGCTTTAGTTTTAATCGAGCAATTAATTTTTTTAAAGCTACTTTATTAAACAAAAAAGTAACTGGTGTTACATTTTCAAAAAATAACTCAAATATTATTACCAATTTATTATTATTTTTTAAGTATTGCATAACTTTACTCATTACTTAATAAAAATTATTATTATTACGTAACTCGAGTTTTTTTATTATACGTTACCTCCAACACTGGTCCTAATATAATAATAACAATAATAATAATAATAATAATAATAATAATAATAATAATAATAATAATAATAATAATAATAAAATAATACAAATATTGTTATTATTTTTAGTAGTAGTAGTATCATTGTTATTATTAAAATTATTATTATTGTTATTATTACTATTATTATTATTATTATTATTATTATTATTATTGTTCCTATTATTATTATTTCTTATATATCCGTGGATTTGCTCTTCAGTGTTTTGCTTTCAGCAGTGACATTTTCAGTGTCGACTTAGTCCCTTTATTAATCCGGGGTCGCCACAGCAGAATGAACCGCCAACTGATCCAGCAAGTTTTTACACAGCGGATGCCCTTCCAGCCGCAACCCATCTCTGGGAAACATCCACACACATTCACACACACACACTCATACACTACGGACAATTTAGCCTACCCAACTCACCTGTAACGCATGTCTTTGGACTGTGGGGGAAACCGAAGCACCTGGAGAAAACCCACGCAAAGGCAGGGAAAACATGCAAACTCCACACAGAAACGCCAACTGAGCCGAGGTTCGAACCAGCGACCCAGCGACCTTCTTGCTGTGAGGCGACAGCACTACCTACTGTGCCCCTGCCTCGTCATGAGCTAACATATTGAACTAAATCTTGATCCCTGATAATGAAATTAAAATTTCAGGTGGATAATTTCAAACATTTTGCTTATGTTTGCTTTTGTAAACACTATTGGTTGGGTTTAGGTCAGTGGTTTGCCAGGTGATCTGTATGACAAGCTCTGCTTCTCCTGACATGTAAAAAAAAAATGACATGTATCTGAAACTTTCAACAAAACAAACCCCAAGTAACATATATTTTAGATTAACACAGATCTAGAGAGTGCCCTCTAGTGGATTTGTCATCTGACTTGTGCAACAAAATGTACCCAGAGCAACGTATTTTATGTTTCACAAAAAAAGTCATGTATTTCAATGATATGTGCCTGATCTCTGCAGAAAGAAAAAGGCACTTCAGGAATTGTGATTGATATAACATACTGTAAGTGGATTGTAGATGTACCTGATAGGGGTAGTTGTACCAGCACTCTCTGGTGTTCCACAGCCACGGGCTCTTTAAAATCAAACACAGACAGATAAATGATCTCCTGAGGCTAAAAAACACAACATAATGGCTTCTGAATTCTGCTGTTTACATCAAAGCGTAAAATAAAAACACCGAAAGTGCCGTCATTATCCCCAGCGCTTCATGACTGAAAAGCTTTGAATCTATTTATTTTATTATATATATTTTTTTGCTTTGTTTTCTCCCCCTCGATCATTATGTAGGAAAGTTATTCAGCATCAAAGGCTGGCATTGTGAATGGGATGATTTTCCTCTGAGATCTGCTGAGAATGCTGACACACGATCCAATCCAACGCAGCGCTTGGCTAATTAGCTACTTCACAGCATCTTTATCAAAGGACATTTGAGAAAATAAGA